GGCTCAAGATGTAGCAACATTGATCGACGGCGTTCCCTAGATTGCGGAAGATCGTCAAAACAAACAGCAAGACGGCGTTCCCTAGATTGTGGAGAGTTGTCACAAACAACTAAAGGTAATTTCGGGCGAAGTTATCTTCGATCATATTCCCTAGGATGTGGAATATTATCAATGCGAATGAGGATTGTTTCAAGAGAAGCAATCTTCGGTAGTATTCCCTTGGATGTGGAATATTATCAAAGCAGAGAGGATAGTTTCAGGCGAAGCAATCTTTTAATTGGAAGCAGTTACAAGGCGTAGCGGTTTTCAAGCAGGATGGCATTCTCTAGCTTGCAGGAGGTCATCAAAACAGATCGGTTACTTTCAGAGACGTGTGCTCGACGGTGCAAGATACGCGTTTCTTAACTCTGTTATCTGTTTAACTAACGCTAGTTTTGCAGGTATTGGCGTTACAAGATTGATTTAGGATCGCATAACGTTCTGAATCATTCTCCGTCCCTATCGTTACTTTGACTTTCGTTTTCGAAACTTGCGTTTCTCCAAACTCAGTCAAAGTGGGGGCTTTTGTAGACACCCATTTGTGTCTCCCCAAAACCAAACCCAGTGATGAGTACCTTTCACGTCGAATCATAATCGAATGAAACGAAAGTGTGGAAAGGTCTAGTGTTGCGGAAAGTTTTATTTCTTTTCTTTTCTCTTCTCTCTGTTTTTGAAAACTTTATTTTAAGAAAACAGCCAATCCAGTTTGGTTGGTCCATGATATGGTGCAAATAGTGGTGTAGTTGGATGGGGCTTGCAAAGACCTTTCCAACGATATATTATAAGCCCAATTCCGATGAATATTGAGGAATTTATGGCCAATTTACTAAACTGGGCCCGGTTTGAGCTTTAAGTACGGCCCAATGATCTAGGGGAGGGCCTAATATGATTTATCATTCCTAATGTAATTAGGAATGGTTTTGGTCTTCTAGAACATTCTAGAAGGTTCTTATCATTCTTAATTCAATTAGGATTCTTCAGAGTTTTAATCAAGATCAAATAGCATTTTCGACCGAAATTATATTATTTTATCTTCCTGTACAATAAAATTATCAGATTTTCAAAAACGCGTTAAAATCCGGTTTGGCGTCCAACCCCAGGCCTTGGCGCCTGGAACCAGGATTGGCGCCAGACGCCAGCCATTGGCGCCTGGCGCTAGCCACTGGTCCTGGCGCCAATGAGCCAGGGCTGGCGCCAAGGTGGTTTTGTGGTCTTCAGACTCTGTTTTGATAAATTATCTTTTTTTTGGATGATTTTCTCTATAAATATCGTATCAAAACTCCATTTTCATCATTAATTACCATTCATTAATTCTCTTCATTCATCATCAACAATCACCAACATTCTCACCAATTCTCCTTATTCTTAAATCTTGATACACCTAGCCATATTCGAAGTTGCCTTCGCCCTAGACGTGAAAGGTTTTAATTTCTGAGGGTTTGGTCCCAAATTTCTCTTTAAATTATTTAATTTAATTGCTTTGTTTATTATTTTCCTTGAAGTTACTAACGTGTGTATTTTGTAATTAGAAAGAGGTACGAGGCATCCAAGTAAGTACTTTATTGATTTATTGATTTTATGATGTAGATATCATGCTTAAATTGTTATTTTGATGATTCCTAGTATCATGTCTAGGGTACTTTTAATATTAAGCGTGATTAAAAGTATGATGCTTCCTATGTTCTTCCTAATATTTATGATTATGATTTATTATGATTATTTATTATGTTGCTTGATATGCATATTAGTTTACATTGTTATTGCTTGATCACACCTTTTATTGTATGTTTAAAGGGAATTGATACTTGCAATCACGCTTAATAAGATAATTAATAATCTTGTTAGGTTAATTGTGATTATAAATTCAAGTGATCGCCAATAATAGTTTATTTCTGCATTAAATTCAACCAACATAGATTAAACAGGTTTAGGGTTAATCCTATTGATTGCATGTTAATCAGAAAGCGCACATGAATATGAGCAGAATAAAGTAGAGGCCTATTATTAGGGCAGGTTCAATCTCTTTTAGGTTGGATTTGTACCATCATCCCCGGACCCTTATTTGGTTCATGACCTTATGGAGTTGGCGATCTCTTGGATTGTTAAGGGGTGTAACCTTCACCTCGTGAACGGTTTACAAGTTCCGTAAAAACTTGTTGGCGACTCTTTTGCTCTATCTTCTTCCCTTTTGGACGCCACCGTACTTTAGTGTATGATCATAGTGGGGTTCAAGCTAGTGGGATTTTTAAAGGCTTGAAAATATTTCCTACAGGACCTGATTAAGTTTAGTTTTAATTCTTGTTTTAGGAGAGGTTTATATACGTTTTTTTGTACGGAATAATTACTTACCTTCTTTCTTAGACTTTCTCTCTCTACTTAGTATTTTTCTCTCTCTTAAATTCTCTCTAAACTCTTGTTCTTAATACTTCCTTTAATTCCAGATTTACTTTGGTACAATTTCTTCCCTTTCTAATTTCAGCTATTTTAATTGTTCTCTTGTTTATGCTTTTAATTATTTATTTGATTGGCTTAGTTATGATGATTAATGAGTAGTTCCATTCTAGGGTTTATGGGGATCCATAATTAATATGAAGGGATAGTTTGTTATTATTGATTATTGATATTGCATGATAATCTCCTATTGAATTGTTTTAATTCTTTGCAATTAGATTATGAATCGAGCAGATGTAATTTGATTGTGAATGTTTAGAAATATTGAATTGATGAATCGAGCATATGTTGATTTAATATTAAAGGCTATTTTTAATAGGAACTTAGGTGTAGTAAATTGCGAGAGCCTGTTTGATCTATGTTGATTAATAAATTGCGTGAGCCTGTTAATCATGTTATCTATGCATTGTTAATTATTAATTACTTCGTTCTATCCCGGAATATTAATTATTGGTGAACCTGTGACCCTAGGTTTCCTTATTATTGATTCTTTTCTTCCTAAACTTATTCTTCGTAGCATATAATTCATACTTAAAAATATTGGTTACTTAGATAATTTAGAGTATAATAATTAATTAGAATTAAAAAGACATGTTTCCCTGTGGAGTTCGACCCTACTTCCCTATCTACCTTAGTTAGTGATTTAGGTAATTATTTTTGATTAGGGGATACGACTTTACCCTGTCACTAATGCTCTCCGATGTTCTATCATGTCACTTATTAGCTCTGAGTTTGCTATGAAGGACCTTGGTCCTCTGAATTATTTTTTTGGGTATTGCTGTGACTCGACATAAGTCGGTTTGTTTCTTTCACAACGTAAATATGCCAAGGAAATAATTTACCGTGCTGGGATGTCAACGTGTAAACCGTCTCCGACAACGGTTGAGACAAAGTCGAAGGTAGGCGCTACTACTAGTGCTAATTTTGATGATCCATCTCTATATCGGAGCCTTGCAGGGGCTCTCCAATATCTTACATTATATTTCTTATGCCGTTCAACAGGTTTGTCTTCATATGCATGACCCGAGGGTTGATCATATGTTTGCTCTCAAACGGATTATAAGGTATGTACAAGGTACTCTCTATTTTGGTCTACATCTATATCCATCTTCTATTTCTTCTCTGGTCGCATATACTATAGGAGTTTATATGTAGTAATTGCGGAAAAACATGAATCATATTCATACAGTACCTAATCCCAAGATGTAATGCATAACACAAAAGAACAAGTAATTATACCTTTGAAGCGTGATTCCACGTGCGATCGAGCAAGAATAATGGGAGATAAAGAACCTCAAGCGTGATTCCTCTATTTGGTCCACGGGCACAGATTAAAGCTCCACTAATGCTAGTTAGTCGTGATTGAACCTTTCAATCAACCTTCTACGGAGAGGAGAGGAGATAAACGAGCCACGAACCACCACCACCACTGTGCGTCCACCGTGCGTCGGTGTCCGTACCGTACGGACAAAGGGGAGGAAGAGAGAGGCGTGTGAGAGAGAAAGGTTAGGGTGTTTGGTTGCTTGCTTTACAACTTACTGTATGGTTGAATTGTCACTTAATTCAACCCTAGGCATGACCTCTATTTATATATCACATATATAATTAGAGTCCGTGTAAAGCCCAAACACTTAGCCCACTTCTAAATACACTAGCTCTACTCCTTACATGACTTGTCATATCCTCATGAGGCTCAATAATAGGCCTCTAACTTGTTTAACTCAATAACCTTGTGTGTGACCTCATAGGATCCATTCTAGCGGGCTTTGGACTATTTGACTAGTCCAAAGATCATCGCTCATAGTCTAGCAACAGATGATGACGACCCAAAAGAACGAACTTATTATCTCCATAATAGTGATCCTTAATATATCTAGTAATTGCACTTATCGAAGACATAATTCCTTCAGATACTGATGCATATTGGGGGGGGGGGGGGGGGCGCAATGATACGAGACGTTCAACGTCTGGTTATTGTATTTTCTTGGTTGATAATCTGATATCTTGGTCATCTAAACGCCAATCCACATTGTCAAAATCTAGTGCAGAGGCCGAATATAGAGGGGTGGCGAATGTTGTCTTCGAGTCATGCTGGATTCGGAATCTTCTCTTGGAGCTACATTGTCCGATTAAAAAGGCTACTCTTGTGTATTGTGACAATGTTAGTGCTATTTATTTGTCAGGAAATTAAAATCAGTTCAACATCAATGTACAAAACACATTGAAATGGATATTCATTTTGTACGAGAGAAGGTTGCACGTGGGAAAGTTCGGGTCCTATATGTGCCATCACGATATCAGATAGTGGACATCTTCACCAAAGGACTTTCGCGAGTTTTATTTGAGGATTTTCGGGACAGTCTTAGGGCCTGTTCACATTTATTTAATTTCAATTCAGTTCAGCTTCAATCAGTTCAATTCAGTTCAGCACTTAATTTCCCTTTCTCATAAAATATTTTGTTTAGTTCAGCTCCAATCAGTTTAGTTTAGTTCAATTCAGCTCAGTTCAGTAAATGTGAACAGACCCTTAGTGTCCCGTTGTCCTCCCGCTTCAACTGTGGGGTGTGTTAAATATATTGTATATATTAGTTAGTCAAGGAGATAATTTCTCATAATTATCCTCCTAGTTTATAGCCTTAGATATACGTGTATAGTATAGTTGCCTAGTATGCAAAAAGATTCCGTATACAAGTTGTCTAGACATCGTCTAGAGACTAGAGCTGGCATTCTGGCCGACAATAACACCGCTTTTTATGATTGCATTATTGATCAGATTTATCACTAACTTTTCAAAATGATGCAGTACAAAAGCTCCACATTACTATACAAGATTAGAATCACTTTACTAGCAAGCCTAACTTTCGCATAACATTAGTCTCTTTACAAATGGTTGAATATAATAATGTAGTATATTCGTTTGTGACGTATATGAAATACAAAGCATTAGAGCAAGTTTAGCCCCAAGTCTTAAGACTTGGGGTGACATCAGTATTTTGGATCTTAAGACCTATGTTTAAGATTTTCCCCATTTTTCTTCTAAAATCTTAGCCAAGTCTTAAGTTGAGTCTTGAAATTTCAAGACTCAACTTAAGACTTGAGTGGGACCCACCTTATTATTATTATTATTATTATTATTATTTTTTTTTTTTTTTTTACATTTTCCTACATATAATTTCTCATTGCAACGGTTAGTTGAATTCAACTGCTATTTTTTAATTTTCATCCAAAACCAATTCTCACATTTTCCACCTCCACCACTTTTACAGCACACCCAAAGCCACCATTTCTACATTAAGCACTACAGACCTAGCCAAAACTTTGACTTGAATTCCTTAATGAATTTGATGCAAAATTCTCAATTTCAAAATCTAGTTTCTCAACAAAACCAAAATCAGAATTATGAAATTTCCCCTGTTCAAAATTTAGCCAACTTTAATTTTTCAATGTTTCATCTCAACCCCAATCATCTCCAAGCATGACTCTAAATAGCGTGAGTTCCAATTCTTCACCCCAAATGTCTGATTTTTCTATCATAATGCACAATATGATTGTTGAGGATGAAAAAAATGATACTACTTTATCTTGTGAAGTATCATATGATAGAGGAAGTAATCAACTAGAAGGACCCCAAGTGCATCATGGTCTTCTTCCAAATTTTTATGTTAATCGTGAACAATACTTTGAGAATCATCGTAGACTTCGGAATCGTACAAGACATCATCAATTGCAACATGACTTGGTTGAACACTTGTGGGATCGATTTGGAGGAAACGTATCAAATGTCTAGCTTGTATTACTACTATTTAATTTTTTAATTTTTATTATTATTACTATTTGATTTTTTTTTTATTAATGTATTGTGTAATTGGATTTAAATAAATTTGTATAATTTTGAAAAATGAAGTAGTCGAAATCTGATTTTGAAATATAACATATACATTAGTATTATTTAGCTTTGTCCATTAATATTGTTATTTATATAGTATAAAGAGAATTAAAAAAATGTCATATATTTGAGTCTTAGTGAGTCTTAGGGCTAAAGTGATAAATTTAGACAAATCATAGTGAGTCTTAACAAGAATTTGATTACATCATTTTCAGTGGGACATAAAAAATGATGTCATATCCAAGTCTTAAAACTTGGGGCTAAACTTGCTCTTAGACTATTAGGTAACAATTAAACTCCACTAATAATAATAATAACTCACTGTGGCTCTAGATAAGAGTTTGATTTCCCTATAAGAAAATCTCTTTTTTTTTTCTTTATCTATTTATTTTCAATCAATAAATCTATTTAATTTTCCTCAAAAAAAAAAAAAAAAAAAAAAAAACAAACAAAACAACTCATTTAATTAGCGCTAATAACGGTCGGTTGGCTCATGTACTAAACAACGCAACCACCTCTTAAAAAAAATAAAAAAAAATAAGCAGTTTAATATCATTTAACGGAGTTTTGAGTTTAAGCCTCACCGTTAGAGGCTCACCCAACATAAATTAAATGGACTATACAAATTGGATTCGAAGTCGGGATTAAGCTTTGGTGAATAAGATGACCTTTTAATTTTTATATTATTTACAAAATGCGTACGTAAATGACAAATAAAATTTATATTACCTCGATTTCATATTATTTGCAATGAGTAGACATTTTCTATCAATATTTTACTACCTCCGTTACATATTATTTACAACGATTAGACATTTTTCCTCTTTTTACTTTATGTCAAATATGTAACGAAAGTAGTATATCAAATAATCATTGTAAATAATATAAAATGAAGGTAGTATTTTAGAACAGACAAAGCCGCCATGTCAGAATTGGAAGCACCCGGGTAACAACAAAAAAGCTACACCAATTAAACTTTTTGACTCATACATACTAGTCAACTTAAATTTCTTTGTGCGCACTGCAAGTTTCAACAAATTATAAATTATAACAAGGCTCAACCAACGCCAAGAAAACAAAGTGACCCAAAATGAATAACCAAAATTCTCAAGTGGTAGTAGTGATGGTTCCTCTTCCCATCCAAGGCCATCTCAACCAACTCCTCCACCTCTCCCACCTCATCACCTCCTACGGAATCCCAGTCCATTACGCCGGCTCCTCCATCCATAACCACCAAGCTAAGCTCCGTCTCAATGGTTGGGACTCACAAAACTTCACAAAAATCCACTTCCATGATTTCGAACTTCCTCCTTATGATTCACCTCCTCCAAATGCCGACCTCTTAGTCCCTTTTCCTCAACACTTCCAACCCCTATTAGAGGCTTCCATGCATCTTCGACAACCCGTGTCAAACCTCTTGCAACAACTCTCGGTCAAGTATAACCGGGTCGTAGTCATCCATGACATTCTCATGGCTTATGTTGTCCAAGATGTTAAGCTCATTTCGAATGGTGAAACATATAACTTCATTCCTACGTCCGCGTTCACCTTTTTCGCCGATGCATGGAGTAGCATACCGGAGAATGATAGGCCGTTTCAGTTGGATTCAAATGATATCCTTGAAGGTATCCCGGGTATAGATGGGTGTCATACTCAAGCTATGGCGGAGTTTGCTCTGAATCAAGTGAAACTACTTGGGTTTGAGTCGGGTTGGATCTACAACACCTCAAGAGTCATAGACGGTACATATGTTCAATTATTGGAGAGGCTATCTCTAACAACACCACATATAAAATACTTTGCCTTAGGACCTTTTCATCCGGTTGTTATCAAAAGTGAAGGTGGCAAAAATAGACATCATTGCCGTAAATGGTTAGACGAACAAGAGAAGGGTTCAGTGATATTCGTGTCTTTTGGGTCAACAACATCATTGACTGATGATCAGATCGAAGAGTTGGCAAACGGGTTGGAAAGATGCGGAGAGAAGTTTATTTGGGTGCTCCGAAAAGCGGATTCAAACAACGTTTTTTTAGAAGCTGGTAAAGAGAAAAAGCCTCAACTTCCTGCAGGTTATGAAGAAAGAGTAAAAGATAGAGGAATAGTAGTAAAAGATTGGGCGCCACAGCTAGAAATCTTGGCTCATCCATCAGTAGGCGGGTTCATGAGTCATTGTGGGTGGAATTCGTGTATGGAAAGTATTAGTATGGGTGTGCCAATTCTAGCCTGGCCTATGCATTCTGATCAACCAAAGAACGCGTTTTTGGTTAGCAATGTTCTAAGGACTGGTGTGATGGTGAGAGATTGGGAACATCGCGGTGAGATTGTAAAGTCAAGTACGATAGAGAATGTGGTGAAAACATTCATGGCATCACAAGAAGGAAAGGAGATAAAGAATAGAGCTGCAAAATTAGGCGATGATGTTAGAAGATCAGTTAACGAAGGTGGTGTTTCTAGTTTAGAAAGAGATGCTTTTATTGCTCATATCTCTAGATAATGCTCATATCACAAGGAGAGCGTCATTTGGATCTGGTTTAATTTTTTTTTTTCTTATTGTAGATCGACCTTTGAAATTTTCTAGATCAAAATAATAATAATAATAATAAATAATAATAATAATAATAATAATAATTATTGTAGCATTATTAATCAAATCTTGAATGATTTTGTAAGATCCATTTAATTAATAGTATCAATCGGTTTGATTTCAGTTGGTTAAGATTTGTTCATATTCGGTTATGTCTTAGCAATCTATTGAGATCAATGGTTGTCATTGTTATTTTTGGGCAAAACAGTTCAATTTCAAGAGTAGATTACAATCTGTAGCTACATTATTTTGAGTGTAGTGTGAATTTACTTTGAGATATTCTCAACAAGAAAACATTTACGTGAAACTTGACTGCATACTCCCTCGGTTTAATACGAGAAAAATATATATTTTCGAGGAAATACTAATATAGGTTTGATATGCATTTGCAAATACATAACAAATACTAAAATATTGAAAAGCACATGGGGGTGAGAAAAAAGAGGAGAGATATTGGTAAGTAGGACCAATTTTACATGTACCAATAAAAGCTTATATAATATTATTGACTATATAGTGATATTATTTTGTTAAACACGGGTCTGGATCACACCCGTCATGGGAGAGTGTAAGTTCACCTCTTTACAAGACAAAGGAGGTTCCACCTCAAAATCATATGGCAATGAGGGAAGTATCCCCTTAGCCTTATATTGTGGTGGTAACTCTTAAATTCTTTCAATGTGGGATTCCATTACCACTACACTCCCCCTTTAGTCTTCTTAGTGTGGGACAAGAGAATGCTCACATGTGGTTGTTCATGGGCTCAATATATTTCTATACGTAGTTAGTACACTGGATGAATATATAGTTCCACCACTCGTGGGGTTTACGCAGGGATCCTCATGTCCAGCGAGTTTTGGTTTAGAAATGAATCTATTAATTAAGAGTTACGATTATAATTGACATAGGCTAAGTCGTTTCAGTTGTGTTTCTCAGTTTGTGTTTGCTATACGTTTCTTTTTATGAGACTAACTTTGAGTTCGAGGACGACAAACTCCCTTTTAAGGAGGATAATATGTAATACCCCTATTATTAATGTCCATTTTGTTTTTATTCCAACTATAAGAGGAATAAATATCCAAAATTCACTACTAGAAAAGTCGGAACAGGTTTTCCGGCACGAGAAAAGTCCGTCGAAAATTTCTGACGGGACACAAATCAGTCAGAAAATTCTGACGGAATTTCCGTCCGAAACTGATTTAAAGTAATTAAAAAAAACGTCGCCACCACCGGCGCGGCATGTCACCACCTCAAAACACCACCAGTCCTTAACTAACCCTAAGCCCAAACCGCCATTCCCCAAACTAACTAAGATCCAACCGCTACCACCATCGAACCCTAACCCAGAACCACCCAAAACAGCCACCATCACCTAACCCTAACCTAGATTCCAAAATCACCACCGAAAACTAACCAAGATCCAGCAACACCACCACCGAACCCTAACCCAGAATCACCCAAAACAACCACCATCACCGAACCCTAACCTAAATTTACCAACCACCACCACCGAAAACTAACCTTGATCCACCAACCACACTAGTAGAAAAATTGAAAATGCCACCGCTTAAAGGCCACCGGTTTTTATAAACCGGTGGTTTAAAAATTGGGCGGGCAAAGGGCAACAATTATTGCCACGGGTTCAAACCGATCCCGTGGCAAAAATGCCTAAGGCCACCGGTTTTGAACCGGTGGCAATAATTGAATAATAAAAAAAAACGCGCCTCTTCAATTCTACTACTTCTTCTCTTTCGCCCAGATTCTCTTCCAATTCACTCTAAAAAAAAACCCCTATTTCAATCGAGCAAAACGCCAGGCACGACTCCTCTTCATCTCCCTTCCACCCACCAGTGACGCCACAGCAGCCAACGCACCACCATCCACCACCTCCGCACTCCGTCCACCACATCCGCTCACCTCCAAACTCCCTCCAACACCGAGCACAAGCAGCGCAGCACGCAAGTTAAGGGAACCGTGCGTGGTCCTCCACCAACTGTCACCACAGCCACCGCACCACCATCCCACAGCCACCGCACCACCATCCCACAGCCATTAGGTGAGATTTCGGGTTTTAGCCCTAATTTACGAATTTTACATCAATTTTTTGGTTTATTTTTCGGAATTTTCTGGCTTTTTTTTGTTGTTGGTAGGGTTTAAATAGGACTGAGCACATTGAAATGGAGGGTGTTTTAAGGAAATCCATGAAAGTGCCATTGCTAGTAGTTATTGCTAAATGGATTCCAGCTTGATTTGAGTGGATGTTACGGGAAATCCTTGCACATGCTCCAATTAATTACTATTACTGAAGGTATTGTATTATAGAAGAGACAGTTCACTTAATAGGATGTTTGATGAATGCTTCAAGTATAAAATGTATGATACTATGATGAATGATGGATATTTGTAGAACAGAGGTGTCTAAGGATGTTTGCAAGGTTTGAGGTTTGAAGTTTTTTGAGGTGACCTAGTGATGGAAATAGTCCAAAGAATTGCTGACTGGAGATGTTATACGAGTTTTCACATTAAAGATTTGTGGTTATGTTAAATTGGATGAGAAGATGAAAAAGATCCATAGATATTAAGTTACTGTACACAAGTGCCTTTTTCTTTAGTTAGTCCATTGCTATTCTACATGAACCATATGAGACCAAGACAATAAGGAGTTTTATGTTAATATGTTACACTTAGTTATTAACACATGATGGAGTATAATGTGTGTGCTGGGTGGTCAGTGTAAAATGATTATTGATATTTTTACGAGAGCTCCCTTGATAATGAGGCTGGAGATCGTGAGTTAATGACTCTAATATGTTTTGAGTAAAAAGAATCAATTCATGACCTCATACACACTTCTGTGTACTTGATCTTAGTCTGTCTGGCAGTTTTTGTTTTTGTTGTTTTTATTTTTGTAAGACATGTTAGGGTTTGGTTGATTTATCTTGGTAGGGTTAAAGATGTGTTACTGCTAATGCAAAAGAGTAATTAGAGAGCAGTTTTGAAATTTTAAATCATGGTGTAACTAGGAATTCTGCACCTAGTGAGAGCATAATTATTGTTACAAAAGAATTGTTGTTTGGGCATGTGAGACTTTAACCTGAGGAAGGGTTGGGAAATGAGTTTTCAAAAGAAGTCTGGGGAAACCAAAGATGACTTGAATTAAGGGAGTTAAAGATATGATGAAATTGGGTTTGCGAAAGAATGAAGCATTGGATAGAATTGATTGGAGGAAGTGAATCTTTGTGGATGACCAAATGAGATAGTTTTTCATGAAACCAACCCATACAAGGCTTTGTTTTTTTTGTTGTTGCTTACTGTTGTATTTCCTTTGAACCTAGATTTTTTATGGTTGAAGCGTTGATGAGATACCCGGGTTTATCAGAAGCTTTAGTAGGGATTCAGAGTTATATTACCTCAAAATTTGGTTGGCTTAATTAGTACCTTTAAAATACATAAATATAGCAAGCGTTGATGTAATTTTAGGTTGTTTTATAGTTCTTGACAAAATTACTAACTTTTATTTTTTGTTATATTTTTTATTTTTGTAGATTCATATTATGTAGTGAAGCACAAGCTTATAAGCTATTCAAGTTGGAAGTTCGAGACATTACATCCATTATACTTGCTATATTGGTATGAACTATAAACTTTATGGAGCTATATTTCTTTCTATTTATCCATTTGATAAAAGTTTGTTCATGATATTACAAGTTGTGTCTTGTTTAATTATAAATAATTACAATAATATGTTGAATGTTAAGCATCATCATATGCCTAGATACCCGTTCAAGACTTTCTCATTAGGAGAAAGTCTTGAATAGTCCCCGGTTGGGACTGTTCTTGAATGTTTACTCTCACTTAGGTGGTGAATGTATGTCTTTTTTTCGATTTTAAGGAACATCTTGGCTCTCCATTTCTTCTCCATGTTCTCTGGGTACATATGTGGGTAAGTAATTATCTACATCTTGTACTTGGAGAACTGGGGGGAAGTGCTGCCGGATTTTCCTTAAAATTGGAAAGTTGACATACATTCACTAGTGAGAGTAGACATTCAAGGATGGGTTAGGTTGGAGTGATAAGGACACTTTGGAAACATGCATTTTTTCACTATATGAATGGTATATTCATGGTGTGTACTTGAAGTTGATTTACACAAGATATGTAGCAATTGTACATTATTGATAATATGTTGCTATATATGTTTAGAGACACTTTACTAAATGGGGAAGGATCGTGGTTGGATGTATGGTAGACGTGATACAATGGATTTTTGGAATGGGGCTCAAGAGTTTTGCGAGACGACTTTATCTTATCAGCGCAAAATTGGTGAGGAAGGCCTATACTGTCCTTGTGTTGATTGTAATAATGTGAAGGTGGTCAATAGTGTTGAAATCATTAGAGATCATGTACTTTGTCGTGGGTTTAGACTTAAATACCATGTGTGGATTTGGCATGGTGAAAGTGGAGAGTATAGTGAGGATCTTGATGGGAATGATGTGCATGATAAAAGCAATGAGATTCATGTGGACGAGGAATAGGAGAATGATGAATATGTTATTGATAGTGGTGAGGATGGAGCTGAGGATCATCTAGTGGATGAGGTTGAGGATAATGACGTGGATGAGATGTTGCATAATGTCGAAGGTGATGTGTTTGAATTACTATCGGAGGCTTCCAAAAAGCCTTTTGTAGGGAATAATTTCAAGCCTTTAAAATCCCACTAGCTTGAACCCCACTGTGATCATACACTAAAGTACGGTGGCGTCCAAAAGGGAAGAAGATAGAGCAAAAGAGTCGCCAACAAGTTTTTAAGGAACTTGTAAACCGTTCATAGGATGAAGGTTACACCCCTTAACGATCCAAGAGATCAACAACTCCATAAGGTCATGAACCAAATAAGGGTCCGGGGATGAAGGTACAAATCCAACCTAAAAGAGATTGAACCTGCCCTAATAATAGGCCTCTATTTTATTCTGATCGTATTCATGCGCGCTTTCTGATTAACATGCAATCAATAGGATTAACCCTAAACCTGTTTAATCTATGTTGGTTGAATTTAATGCACAAACAAATCTATTATTGTCGATCACTTGAATTATAATCACAATTAACCTAACAAGATTATTAAATATCTTATTAAGCGTGGTTACAAGTACCAAATTCCCTTTAACCATGCAATAAAGGTGATCAAGCAA